TTTAAAAAATTTATAAGAAATGAAACGTTTAAAAAATTTTAAAAAATAAAAACAAAAAATAAAAATCTAGAAAAAAAAATAAAAATCTAAAAAATAAAAAAATAAATATCTAGAAAAACAAATAAAAATCTAGAAAATAAAAAATAAAATATCTAGAAAATAAAAAAAATATTTTTTTACAAAAAAAATTTTTGTGGTAAAATTGAACTCGAAATTTCGAAAAACCGATTCCAGATTCGGATTCCTCGACCCCTAAAACCTTTAATCAAACTTTAGAAAAAATCGTTCTTTTCTTAAAAAAGCTCTTCTTTCGTGAAAAAAATCTTCACTCTAACTATTTTATTAAAGTATCCATGATGCTTACCGTGATAATTTGAGAGACTAAATGAAGTGTCTTGGTAACAAAAAAAAAAAAGGAATGAGCTCTCATGCTTGAGAGGGGCCCTTTTATACTCCATTTGGCTGTTATTATTGGGGTTTAAGAACCATCGAATTGGAAGATTAAGATATTTATTTATCATTGGCTATTTTTTCAGTAACTGCGAGAACAGTGGACACTTTAGCAGGCACTGCGCTCACTGCGTCGTAAAAGGGCTACTGCGTGTAACTGCGGCGCAGTTGTTAAAAAAGTAGTGACATGGGAGGCAAACAACGGATTGGAGAAAATGTGTTTCTTTGTACATATAGCAGATGCTAAAAGCAAACACCTATGGCGGTTTATGAAAGGGTATTTACCTTTCTTCACTGTTTGAAAATTAACACGAAGGAAGTAGTGTGAGACAGTTCTATTTTTTTTCAGCTATAATGTACACTAAGAACAGTCGTCTGTAACGGTTTGAACGAAATGTTATTTTTCTGTGCATGAACAGACACATGTGGACACCTGAGCGACGCATATCATATTTAACGTCTACTGGTCATAAAAGTCGATTCATGGAATTATTGGATTGAAGGTGTGTTCTCTTTTTTCCTGTCTGTCAAAATTTAGGGTGTGGGTGGGGAGTGTGGGTAAGGGTGTGGGTGTGGGTGTGGGTGTGAGTGTGGGTGTGAGTGTGGATGTGGGTATCTCAAAAGAATATCAACACCCTCGCCCTTACCCACACCCACACCCTAATTCAAAATTGGCTTGATTATCAAACAGATAAAGATTGGAGAGTTTTTCGACATTTTGCTGCGTTACAATTGGTTATTGACGGTTCAAATACTCTTCAATTAATCGATATTATCAATGAGATGTTTATTATTGATAGAGATTTTCGTTTACGATATATTGTACCACATTTGTTTACTTCTTAACTTGTCAATATAACTGTTCTTCGTCAAATCTTGATCAAACTACATCAATATATTGATTATTCTTTGAGAATTTCGCAGTGTTGGGCAACTCCGGCTTTTTCCACTCAACTCCGATGGAGTTAGGTCGAAGTCGTGAGACAAAAATTGGAGTTACAACGTTGTGCTTAAATGGACGATAATAGAACGGTCTACAACTCCGATGGTCGCTATGGAGTTGTACCAAAAATTCCTTGTTGCTACGGAAGTTAACTCCGGAGTTACCCAACACTGGAATTTCGGTCTGGATTGAACGTAAAGAAATATTTGAGTTAATTCTTAATTTAGAACTTGAAAGAATAATCTCAAATAAACGTCAACTATCTACAATCACAACTAGACCCTATTTATTAATGATTAAAGCCCAAGTCAGCCCGTGCGCCATTAGTGCGCGTACCGTGCGCGTCACACGTGCGCGTGACGTGCGAGACGCTCGGTACGCGCACGGATTGTCACGCGTACGTACGTGTGCGCGCACCATTAGCGACGTTCGCTCTTTACTATTTTACCATTGGTTTATTTATGAGAGCCTTTTTTAATTTTCGCAGTTAAAAAATATCTTTTATTTCTTTCAAATGATTGTCAGGATAAAACCACCTGAGTAGACAATAACAATAACAATTAGAAGAAAAATAATTAAACAGTTGCTTCATAAAAAAAAACGACAAGATCTCGTATCACATAAATCTATCATAAAATTTACAATTCTTATAAGGCAAGCAAATATGAAAAATTAAAATTTTGTGGATAAGTAAAGATGGATAAGCATAAAGTTACTATTTCATGATACAAAAAATGAAATTTATGCTTTGACAAAGCTGCAACATAATTTCATATGTAACTAATAAGATAAATAAATAGCGTAAATATTATAGGTGTTAACATATAGATAAAATATCAATAATCATCGTCATCATCTTGTTCATCATTGAACCGATGTTGGCTGTTTATTTCAGCCATGACAGAAGCAGTTCCTTGATCAGTTTCATCTTGATTTCGTCTGAAATACAGGATGAACTAGAAATCTAGAATAATTAGGTTAATAAAAATAAACTGTAAAAGTATTATAAAAATACAAATATTTTAATGCATATTCTAAAACAAATTATAGAAAAACATAAATTAAATTTTTTAATATATACCCTAAAAGATTATGAAAAAAAATTAAATACTTTAATATATATTCTAAAAAAAAAATTATAAAAATAAATAAATATTTTAAATTAAATAATGAAATAAATTAAATATTGAAATAAACTAAATTTTTTGATATATATTCTAAAAAAAATATAAAAAAAATAAATTAAATATTTTAATATATATTATAAAACCAAGTTATAAAAATAATTAAATAAATATTTTAAATTAAATATTTTCATATGTATTCTAAAATATTATTAAAAAAATAAATTAATATTTTAATATATATTCTAAAAAAGTATAAAACAATAAATTAAATATTGTAATATATATTCTACAAAAAGATTATAAAAGAAAACTAATTAAATATTCTGTTTGCAAAAAGGATGTCCGTTATAAATTATAGATACGTCTTTGTTGTTGGTACCATTTATATGAACAGACGGCCTCTCTACTGGACGCGATATCACGTCACGCGTACTAGTGACGAACACATCGGTACACCACGGTACGCCGAACGTCATTCGTGACACTAGATGCACCAATGCGCACAAGCGCACCGTACCCCGTACCAATAGCGCACGGGCTGACTTGGGAGGTTGTTCAGAAGATTTACACATTTATCTTATTGAATATCTTAGATTATTTGTTGATGTTAAAATTGAAATTGAAAATTCTATAAAAGAAAAATTTCTTGCTATTATTATCAAATGGATTACTAAATGTTGGATTTCAATTGAGAATACACATATGTTATCAATGAAATTTTACGAATATATTTTTACATTTCTATATAATCCACAATTTCCTGAAGTTCAAAAGACAATTTTTGATGCTCTTAAGTCTTTATTTATTTTTCTAAAATCACGAGAAGAAAATATTCTTTTACAACAGATTGTATCACCTCATTTGATCAATGTTATTAATTCATATGTGACATATTCAGAAGATATTTTATCTATTTATTTATTAGCTTTTGGTAATTATCTATTCAAATTGAATGAATCTAAAAAAATGAAAGAAGTTTCAAATGAAATATTGAATATATTCATTCATCTCTTCAGAAATCATCTCGATTAGAGCTGCTTTTTGTTTCATTTTCATACAATATTCGAATATAACATCCGATACAATACAAAATTGGTCTAGAAATAAATTAAATATAAATCCTGAAAAGAAATATTCTATACTATTACAACAAACTTTATATAATAACAAGAATTCATTAGATTATAAAAGTATAAGATTAGTTATTGAACATATACGCACGTATTCAACTGAGATAATGAATAAATTCGTTCTTGAATTTTATAATTGTTTATGCAACGAACATAATGATAATTATTTTTCTGTTTCTAAACCTAATTATATTCATATTGAAATGGAATTGATTGAAGAAGATTTTAATATATTTCAAAATGGTGTTAAGAAAAATTCTTCTGATAAAGAAAATTTTCAAAATGCACTCTATCATTGTTTCTCTTATTCAGGTAATGAAATCGATTGTAAACTATTTGTTAATCTTTATGCTAAATTTGATATAATCACTATGGAACTTGTTAATATGTTAGAATCCTCGAAAATTTCTTATGATACTCATATGTGGAACTATTTTGATAATATTAAACGAATATTAGATCAAGATGTTATTAATAAATTATATCAAATTTTAGATTTTATGTTAATTAATATAGAATTTGCTCGTTTTTCATTTGTAGTAAGATTACTTGCTCAACTTGCACAAGTTCTTGTTATATCTTTATTTGAAGTACATGAAAATATTTCAAATGTTATTGAAAACTTATCATCTGATCATGATTATATAGATAAACTTGATAAAAATTATATTTTTCAATATTTACTTAATCTTACGAAGGAACCTCACCAACTGATTAAAAGCTTTAAGGCTCATATTTACGCCATAAGTAGTGCTTAGTGAGACTAGATGAATCCTAAAAGGATTTCCTTGAATGGGCCTGTTTGGCTAAAGAGGAAAGGTCCCCAAGTGTGAAATCTACACGGTAAAAAGGTTAAAGATCAAAGGCCATTGAACGAAGTTTATCATGGTCAAGAGAATTCTAAAACTTTCTAAGATATTGTGAAGTCTTTTACAGAGTACGTGAGGGCTGTAGAAGATTCCACAACGTCTTAGAATTCTCTTGATCATGATAAACTCTACTCAATGACCTTTGACTTTTAACCTTTTTACAGTGTAGATTTCACACTTGAGAACCTTTCCTCTTTAGCCAAATAGGCCCATTCAAGGAAGTACTTTTAGGATTCATCTAGTCTCACTAAGCACTACTTATGACATAAATATGAGCCTTAAAGCTTTTAATCAGTTGATGGGGTTCCCTCGTGAGTATGAAGTCATATCAAAAGATTTCTTGTATTATGATAGAAAGAAAATATTAGATTTTTGGAACATAGAAACACAAAAGGATTTTGAACTACATAATCGCTAATCAATTGTGTAAGTATAGTATGAGAAGTAGGATTTAGGTACATGATCCTCCTGGTAATAATATTTAAACATCAATGGAATCTATCACATCATCCGAAAGTGATGCTGAAAATTGTCGTTTGATAAATTGCGTAGTTTTACCTGAATATCCTGGATAAAGTAGCTCAGTCGAGAGCAAACCACTGGTTTGTAATGGAAAATGAACGGAAAGATTGGTATTTTTGATACAAAATTCCTCATCATTATCCGTCCATGAATAGGCTACAGTCGACGGATTAAGAAGAATTTCGGCTTCAGTATCAAAAATTTGCAATTGAATCGAATCATATTTATTATTTTGACCATTCAATAAATGAATAACATTGCCAGCAAGAATAAATAATCGTTGATTTTCTTTCAATTGAATCGATATTTCCGATTGTTTCCAATAGAATTTCGCTCGTTCATGCACAAGTAATCTTAATTGTAAACGATTCAATTTCAAACGTGCTTGATACTTATTACTCAATAAATGTAGGGCAATTTCTCGATAGATGGAAGGAGCTAAATTTTCATCATTTAAAAACTGATCCAATAATCCAGCATCGATACTATAGGCTTCCAAAAGTCCTCCACTGACAAAATAAGTCCCATGTTCTGTAACGTTTTGTGAAAATAAGGCATCGATACCTACAATATTGCCCGATCGATAATAGATGGGCATTGTATCCATTTTACATTCAACAATACCTCGAACAATAAGATAAGCAGTGAATACTCTTTGACTTTTGCGAAGAAGAATTTTATCCGGTTGAAACCATCTATGTTTTGCTTTCATAATCGTTTGCCAGTGAGTTTTTTCATTCAAAGGTAGTGATTGAAAGATTGGTAATAAGTCAAAAGCATCTTCAATTGCTTTCTTATGACCTTTCGGCATTTGGACACGATAAAATTCAAGATTAAACAATTTCTTTTCGATTAATTCTAATATGTGCGAATACACAGTATTACCCAACATTCCTGTTTCGTAAAGTTCAGTGATAGTTTTCAATTCGTATTTGAGTAATATTTGAGCACATCGTTTTGTCATATGAATTCGCCAACAAACTTCGTAGGATTGTTGTAGATCGAGAAGAATATAACTAGCAGTAAGATGATAGAAATGAGTTTCTTGACAAACTTCATGCCAAATTCGTTCATCAATATTAGCTAATTCAGGAAATTGCTTTTGAATATTATCCATTCGAGTTCGAGCCGAATGGAAAGCTGTACAATAAAAAAAGAAACCACAAAAACTGAAGGAAAGTTTTGGTTGTATCACTCACCCAGAGTTAATTCAATGGTGAGAAAGATATGATCAAATAATAATTTATTGGTTTGATTATTAATCCAATCGATGCAATCGAATTGCATAAGAATTTGTAACCATTTCGACAACCGAAAATGTTCAACGATCAATTTCCAATGAAGTTTTAGAGAATGTTGATGTTTAGCTTTTTCGATTGATTTAATCAATATGTAAAGTGTTCGTCGACGAATCATTCCCAAATACCATTGCTTTTCATAATCAACCAATAATGCTGTAAGAAAACGAATAATTAATTCATTTCGAAAGTTTATATTTTGTTTTTTATCATTGGATCGAAAATCGCCAACTGGTAATACAATATATTTAAGAGTTGAATTCTGTTGTTCCGAAATGAAATTGATCGGAACACTATCGGTCTCACATATACTTGGAAGTTTCTTGAATTCAATATTTGTGATCGTACGTTTTCGGTAAGTATGTGGCGATAAATTATGAATTAAACTTGGTACAACGGAAAATTGTTGATGAATAGTAGTGTTTCGTTGTTCATCCATTTTTTGAACTAATCTATCTGGTAAATATTCATTGAGCATATTCCAATCGACATCAGAAAATTGTTTTTCCTGTTTCATTTTATGCAGTTGATTCATCGTTTGTCTACGCATATGTTCGAGAGCTTGTAACAAAATGCGTTCACTTTCCGGTGTACCTAGAAAATGAACATATATCAAGAATTCTTCTCATCTCAAATTTTTAGGTAATTTTATAAGCATAATTATTCATCTTTCATGGAAAAGTTCTTATCCGTAAATTCATAGGAATGTATTTTTATGTAAACAATATGTACATACCGTGATTTAAGTCGAGAAGTCTCACTAAGAATTTGCTGCTTATTCCATTGATAATCAGTGTGAGAAGGGCAATCATACAGATATGAAAAAGAAAACGATGTCGTGTTATAATATCGATTCGATTGTCGGAATTAACTATCAAAGCTAAAATAACGGGCATACTACCTCTTAAACCGCTCCAAATAAGAACTATATATTCTTTCCAAGATAAACGTACATTACTCCAACGTATAAATGGATAGAGAAGAATGATGGATAATAGACGTCCAATGTGAAGTGCAATATACAATAGAATAGAAAATCCCAAATCAAGTACACCAATAGTGGCTTTCGTGCCGATTAGTGAGTGAGCCAAAATAATACCAGTAATGATAAAAATGAGAATATTTGCAAAATCAATAATGATACGCCAAGTATTGACCATTGGAAGTTGCACATGACTGCTGATACAATATTTATATTTGGCCATGATAAGTCCCATGACCACTAATGTCAGAACAGCTGAAATGCCGAGTTCAACATCAGCAATGTAGAAAATCAGATAAGCAAGACTAAAGACCGATATGATTTCGACTTCAAGTTCGTTACGGATTAAATTCAAAACAATCACAGCAATAATGCCACAAGCAAATCCGAAAGCTGGACCACCTAGAATGTTAACAGACAACACTTTCGAACGATATTATTACAAAGAATAGTTATAATCAAATTTTACTGACCAATAGTGAACTTGACAATATCAATAACAATTTTCCTTGCACTACCGCTTCCACCAACAACAATATCTCGAAAAATCGTAAAGATGACAAAGGCAGAACCATCATTCAATAATGATTCAAGATCAATCAATGCTGCTAATGATTTACTCGCTCCTGACTCATGTAGTAATGCTACCACAGCAACGGGATCTGTTGCACTTAGAATACTTCCAAACATGATACTAACTAGCCAAGACCAATGATATGGAAATATATAGATGGCAAATACTGCAATAGTAACAATAGAAATGAACACACCGGGACCAGCTAGAAGTATAGCAGATATGATTTGTGGTCGAATAACATGAAAATGACTATTAAAAGCAGAATTGAATATGAGTAATGGTAGAAAAATGTAATAAATAAGATGAGGATTAATTTCTCTCAATTCTTTTTCACCAAGTAAAAAATCATTACTCATCACATTAATATGACCTATAATCATACCAACAGTGAAACCAAAAATGAGTACGATTACTGTAAATGGAGCAGGAAATTTATTTTTCAATATTTGTGAAAGTATTAATTTGCATATACATCCAGCCAAGACGGCAAATGACAAAAATAAAATCATTGTACCAATCGTATGTTCACCTTCATGATGAGAATTCATTGTACTATTATCGATTGCAATCATCTAGAAATGAACAATAGCTTTATCTTTCAAAATTCATTTGTCTCTCAATTCAGTATGTACATCAATATCTCAATGACAGAGTAAAAAGTAATGAGACAAAATCCATTAAGTAGAGAAACATGTCTGTCACATCCAAGTCGATGAATATAAGAATTGTAAATGATCATATACGACGATAGTAAACGAACGTTATGTTCTTCTCTTTAAAATATTATATTTCACTTTATATGAGGTAGAAAAATATGATTGTAATATTGAGCTATGTAAACTGTCGTATTTCTCCACCTACGATCGTTTAATGATCATGTCTCTTTTATATCAACATTGAATACAAAATATTCACACAAACAGAACATAGTCAAATGCAAAGTGTCAACGATGTAAAATCGAAGTGACTATTAAAAATATAATTTGTACATGATTCGGTACAGTTTTGTACGTGCTAGTCATGAATAGATGTTTCAATTCTTTAAATACGAGCAACGCAAACTAGCACTCTGATATTTTAGGACTTGTATAGTTTTAAAGAAACAGGATCTATTGATTATTTAATGATGTGCATTGCATGAATAGTTACGTTGAAGATATTTATGCAGTTAAGACTATCTATACCTGCTGATGAATATTGGTCGATCTTCAATAACTTTAACAATCATCATATGTTTTAATGAGTTAGAACATGAATCCAACTGAACAATATTCCTCGTTGCAATTGCACTGAACAAATTCTTGGTGTCGAGATCAAATTAGGAAAAATATTTTGAAAAAAGAATTGGGAATGAAAAAGATAAAACGTTAACTTTTCTCAAATAAGCAGTTTTTCTGATTGTTTACATTTTCCAAGTTTGGTAGGTTATCATTTATTGTAAATTGTCATCCTTAAGAGATTTTTTTAGGAATGACAATTTAGAGTAAATGATAGACATTCCTAAGTTTTTTCTTCAATTTTCTCACTTACGACCTTGTCCAAAAGAAATTAAAGCATACACAAGTATTCGTGATCAGCATGCCAGGTTTAGCTAAATAATATATGAAGTTTTTTAATAGTTTACTCGATTATACATAATGGTATGTATAGATTTGACAGAAGGAAGAAATGTGAAAAACTATGTCGAAGTAGTTTAGGAGAAACATGAAATATCAATCATATGAAAATGTCCAAACATCTTCGTGCTGATATTTCTCGATCAGAGTGAGATTAATTTTTATTCAGTATCAAAGAAAAAGATTAGCATACGTTGATCAACCAGTATTAAATCGTAAATATGAAATAGTCCTTAACCAATGCTTGAGAATATCATTATTTCTTAAGAATTTGTTTTTTTTTCTGTTTTACCACCACGAATGATAAATTATCTAATAGTTTACTAATGTCTGTTCACGATACATTGAAACTTCATCATTCTTTTGTTCTATCAAATCAATACTAACTTGCATCGTTAGAATCTTACCTTTCATCAACTACTACCGACTGTGACAACGAAAAAAATTATTCGGTGTACATTTAAGCAAAATATTTCACAAGATTTGTCAAGTGTGTCGTATTTATTAGACAGGTCTACTCATTCAGCGTGTGTTTAACATATATAGGAAGAAAAAGAAATACATTGGTGCATGCGAACGACACATATAATAGCAAAAAGAGAGAAAAAGTTAAACTTTTTTTGATCACGATAATGACCTTTTCATCGACATTAATTATCAATGATTGATGAAAATTGCCATAAATTTTCTTTCCAATCTACCATCTCTCTTTTTAGGTGTACTGCAGAATTTCTGTCATTAGATAATTTAGTTATTTAGTATACTGTCAAAACAAAAGGAATAGTGGCATTCACCGCATCTTATGAAAGAATAATAGCAAATGGATATGAAAATGTCGAAAACAGCTTTAGTCGAACGTAAAACAGTTGAAACTTTAAGACGTTATTATCAAACAATCCTCACCTGCCATGGTCATTCTCATCCTCGAAAAAAACAAAACTTTTTCTCTCTAATCAAGTTCATTCATTATCTATTCTTTCGACATTCTTTCGTTCGATCTTCTTTTCTATGGACATCTTTTTTTTCTCGATATTTATTTTTCAACAATTTTTCTTTCAATTTTTTCAATATATACCACAGGATAGGTTCACATAAGAGAGATCTCCCTCATATCCTAAAATTGAAAATCGAGAATTTAAGATATCCACAATTCAGTGTGTGAATAAGATAAGAATGTCACTTTGGGTGTGGGTGTCTGTGTGATATTTCGCTTCCCCGAAAACCCACAGTCACCTATACACACCGACATCAACACCCACACTCTTAGGTACAGGTTAATATGCGGATGTTCGCTGAAAAAGTCGAATCTTCCGCTAACTTCACGAACGTACCTAGGTCCTATTTTTTTATGATATTCTTCCACAAGACAAACGAAAAATTTCGAGCATGTTTATTCTTGATAGCAAGGAACAATAAAATATTTATATCATCCAATGCAGATTATTTCAAATTTACAACAGTCGATAGAAGTAGAACGCTCAAAATAAGTTACTAGATCGTAGTATAATAATAAAATAATTCTATAAAGCAACCCTAATATTGATATACAAAAGCAGACTTTTTTCGCGTCTTTATCTTGCTCTTGTATTGACTTTTTTTCAACTATTAGTGGTAGAATTATTTCTATTCTCTTGTACTACGTAAAAACAAGATTACAATATTTATATATCACTTGTGAAGAACGAAACAAACTCGGTGATGATCTTGTTCCCGATTATTTCACTCGCATTCAACAAAATGATTTCTTTGGTTGGTACTTTGCTTATATGTCTTCAAGTTTGATTGATCCACAACGACGTCTATCAAATGGTACAAGTGAACGGCCTGATCTAGTAGCGCGTACGAAAACACCTGATATTCTCTTTCAAGCTTATTCGTCATCACTGAGCGTGTAGTTCTATACTGGCAAATCATTTCCTGATCGATATAGAAATGGTTCATTTGTTGCATTTCATGACTCAATGGATAAAGCTGTCGGAACAGGCTACAAGATTGTTTTTATTCCATTTGATAGTGCAACGAATCGTCCGATGGAATATTATGAAGATTTCGTTACTGGATTTTTAACAAATTCTACTAGACTGACTGTGTTTGGTCGACTAGTTGGAGTACTCGTTCTCAAAGATGGAAGTTTGATATTCACCGAAGATAGTAATCATCGAATCTATCAAGTACAATACACGAATAATGCACATTTTTATAGTCTTGCTTCAATCACAATTCTTATCGCATGCAACTATTTATCCATATTCATTACTTTATAACCCTATAAAAAATACACGTATAGATAATATCAAAGAGAACTATAATAAATCGATTACATAACCAAAAGAACAAATCATTTTTTTTATTTGTCTTCATGTTGTCCTATGACCATGTCGATCCTAAAGGCACGATTAAGCTCAAAGACACAATACTTTCTTGATAAAAAGAATAAAATGAATAAATATAAAAAAGAAAAGAACAAAAGAATAAGGGTACTTGTAAAATTCACTAACATCCGTATCTGAATGCAACATTAAAGGTCTTCTACTTATAATCTTTGTGGAAATCCGAATCATTTCCG